CCCCGTGATACATGGACGAAAATGTTTCCACCACCACCCTACGAACTCAAGATTGCATACTCCAGCATCTATACTAAATTGAATAATTTGCACGCCGCACAGTGCAGTACTAGAAACAGCATTTATTAGACAGTTAGACAAAAAACAAAACAAAATGCCTGTCTCGATCAATCGCACATCCATAATGTTTGTATGTTGATACGCTTGTAAATAACATTAACGTAAAAGTCGAAACAACCTAGACTAGAAGTCAATTCACCAGTACAGCCAACTATGGCTCCCTAAGTTGCTTATATTTAATCAGACACTATTTCGTCATCATGCTTTGTTACCTTACCTGTTTATAGCTCATGAGGGCGTTTTTTGATGGCAAGATGGCGCAAACGGAAGTCCTTTGCAGGTTTATGGTTTCTCATATTTAAATCATCATAACTCTGAAGATAATTTTTTTTTTTTTTTCAAATTTATAATCAATAGACATAACTTGATAAATACAAACACCAAAATAGGCTCTATTTAGTTCCCCTTTAAGCTGATAGCAGGGTTTCAGTTACACCAAAACTACTTCATGGATACATGAAGCCGAATAAAAACACAATTAGAAAAATATGACTTGCGGGAACTCATTGCTACCAGATACTGCTCGGACAATATGCGCATATTGTTAAACAGTAATCTGTCGTAAGATGAATGCATGGAATTAATTCATCAATGACAATTTAACGTGTAATATAATATCTGACAAATACTTATTATAAATAAAAACAACAACATACATTATTTCACCAACAATACATCTACATTAGTCATTAGTTGTAGTCTATACGGGTCATCTAGTATAAAACTACGTGTTGCTTACAGATCAGAACTATTGTGAACCCAACCTTTGTCAAAATGGTGGCGTGTGTGAAAACGCTATGGAATCCTATACCTGCGATTGTGTGCCTGGTTTTCAAGGGATTAACTGTGAAACGGGTAAGTGATGCACATAATTATATACTTTAAAAACAACACTCAATATTATTACAATGAGTACATTTGCCTACCTTTCAGAAACGGAAGATTTTGACATACAATACAATTCGACCCCCACAGATACCACGTGTTAAAGCCACATACAAGATTTCCACTCACAAATTACTAATCAACACAATAGGCTTGAAATCGTTTATAAATTCCACTTACACAAAGTGCGTTATTCTCATTCTACAAAGATGTTGATGAATGCTCTCCACATCCATGTGAAAACGGCGGAACATGCAATGATACTCTGAATGGGTATACATGTGACTGTGTGACAGGAACCTACGGCGACCACTGTGAGATAAGTGCGTAAATACTTATTTATTATCTTGACCAAGATTATGCTTTCGATTCAAATATTATTAATACATTAAGTATACCTGCATGCGGCGGACGGCCATAGCGTGACAACCAAGCGTTCACAAGTGAGCCTTTGCGTTTATTGCGTTCGTATTTATCATCGGATTTCCGGTGACCCCTTCGCTTTAAATGAGTTGTTAGTGTAAATATGTACATACACCACGTACATAAACCATCCACAGATCCAGACGACTGTCTTCATGTTACTGACTGTTACGGAGGAATGTGTATAGACGGTTTTGACAGCTACACGTGTGACTGCAATACAGGTAGGACATGGAAAATACTTGTTACGTATTTGCAAATTGGGAAATCATATTTATTTGCAGTTTGCATTGTCAGAAAAGTGCGCATATGTAAATCATAATTTAACTGTTGCTACCGCCATGAAAATTAAAACGTTATCCTGCATATTCAACTTTTGTCTTGCAAATTTGAAGTTTTGATGTGTGGATTAGAAGTTTCCTCCCGCGAATGTAAAGATACGCTTACCCTCATTTACGTCAAAAAGGACGCTAGAGGGCGTGAGTGATTTGTATTGTAAGCCGGGATTGCATATCCTTGATTCCCAATGCTGAAATGAAATAAAACAGTCAAGGACGCTGTGGTTGTCGTGACACCCATTTGTATAGCTACACTATTAACTCAAATTTACAAAACAATATTTACATCATCTAACATTTATTTCTTCCCTTTAAGACGTGTCAAATGTTGTGTATCAAAAACTTGTTAGTCAAAGTTCAACACAGATAGAACATGAGGCAGTAAACGCTATTGACGGCATTCTCACTCCTAGTGATGCGTGTACGGACACTGCCGAAGAGTATGAACCGTGGTGGCAGATTGACCTATTTGAGATTCACTGCATTCATAAGGTCATCATCACTAATCGTCAAGATTGCTGTCGTAAGTTCCCATATTTATGTAATTTTGTTTATGTTATATTTTTTCAAAATTTTAACATTGCGAATGTAGACAAATGAACAAGTCTTATTCGCCAAGTGTCAAACTCCCTGGTCCCACGCTAACAACTTAGCAAGGGAATCGTCAGACCAACGGATGTGCTGCACAAGCCTTGGTGGAGTGTTCTACCAAAAATAGCAACAGACATATTCAATATGTGTTTTATAAGTCAGAAATTATTGACTATAAAATTACGTTTCAGAAGAAAGGTTGGAAAACGCTGTGGTTCTGGTTGGCTATACAGCACAACGTGATGAAACTGTCCAATGTGGTGATATTGTGAATGCACAAAGTGCTTTACAGGAAACTGTTGAGTTTACCTGTGGAATGGAAACGAGAGGAAGATATGTAACTGTTATGTTACAGGAAACTACAAACCTTTTGTCACTGTGTGAGGTGGAGGTATATGCACCAGGTAATCTAATTGTGTGTTACTCAGATTATCTAGCCATACGTTTAAATGATTGTTTAAATTATTCCACCATACATTGATATAATCCTCTTATAGGTGTGAAACGTTGTGAAACTAACCCAATATCTATTTATTATGTGGCAACATTTAGCTCGCAGAAGATTTGAACTGCGTAAGGAACGTCTCACATGGAGCCAAGCTAATGTTAGTTGTCATGACATTGGAGCGCATTTGGCAAAGATCAGAAGTATGGAAGAAAATAACTATCTAGTACAGCTTATTGAGCAATATGGCCTTGGCTGTGAGTGAGAACATTTTGCGCAACTGCAAATGTTTTTGTTTCTTCTGTTTCTGAGTTCTTTGCATGTAAAAATCCATCTACCTTCGAAGCGGGCATCCGGGTATGTTCACCACCTGGTACCATCATGGTGAAAATAAAGGCCGGAACTC